TAAGCCATGTATCCCGCCTAGGCTTGGAATGGCTCGGAGAGCATGAGTTTGTAGCACTGGAGTGACCCTCTTCGTCACCAGACCTGAACCCGGATATTTTTCCCCACCAGTCGGGGCTTCTTCGACTGCAACACCATGACGAGACCTGTAGATTTTAACGCGATTCTATTAGTGAATGGGTGCACAGTTGACCGTGCTATGTTACCCTAAGTTTTGCGGCGGACACGCTAGTTTTCGCCACTCTGCTCGTTATTTTACCCTACAACGGTACGACGAAGAAAATTCATGATAAGATGGGACTAATCGACTTATGACATATTTGGCCACACCTCAGCATGGCTAGTCTCGGGGATAACATTCAACATGAAATCGTGCACAGTACTCTTGCATACGTTCAAATATTTCGCGATTTTCCTTGAGCTCACCCCCTTATGTTAAAGGGTGGGTCTAGGAAGAGTGCAAGAAGATCCCTGTAAAGGTTTGCACTAACCTCGTAGATAACATTCCTAGGAGGGTGTAGGTGGTTATCAATGCCATGTGTTGGTGGAATAGGAACTAGAAACGCTGCTCAGAAGTTTGTTCTTTGTCCTGGGAAATAATTGTCTGGATGTACTCTTTGTATATCTTTTGGCACTAAGTTAGATCCAGTGTACTGTTATGGAATTTAGCGCTGTGAACACATCCACTATGTGCCCCTCCCAAAGTGTACCACCATTAAATATTAAGAGGTTATGTACACTGGTCGAAAAGCTCAAAAACCCTAATTAATGCAAAACATCCGGACAATTGTTTCCGTCACTGTATGTGTTCTTACTCGGAGGGACAGCTATCATGTGGCATGCCAAGAAACTAGCAGACATATCACTCTCAAGTGCTGAAGCGGAGTACATGGCATTGTTTTTTGTGTGCCAAGAGGGAGTGTGGTTAAGGAGATTGCTGAAGGAGTTGGAGATAGACGTGAAGGGGCCTACAGTGGTAAGGACGGATAGCAAGTCAGCTATGGACTTGGTGAAGAACGACAACTGGCATGGGAGGACTAGGCACATGGATATGAAATATCACTGGGTGAGGGAGCAGTTAGAGAAGTAGCAGTTCAAGTTCGACTTTGTGCGCACTGAGGAGCAGGTAGCTGATTTCTTGACCAAGGTGCTGCCAAGGGCCAACTTTGAGTACTGCAAGGAGAAGGCCAGGATACGTACCTTGAAGGACATGCAGGGGAGTGTAAAGGTGGCTTAGAGGGTGTGGTTGGCAGAACCACAGGGGAGGTTGTTGGAGTGGTTCCGCCATCCATGACAGACTACTCATGACTTGGGGCGACGGAAGGAGAAGCGAGGACTAGGGAGGAGAAGGAGTTAGGAAAGGAGGTTGGAGGAAAGAGTGATTGGGTGGAAGAAAGGAAAGGAAGTGGCGAGAAACAAGGTGACGTGGGGCAAAAGTTGGGTTTCGGACGGGGCGTGTTCAACTAGCATTTGGACTTTGGACCAGCGGCATGTTCAGCAAGAGAGTCGCGGTTGCGTGTGCGACTCGGCTTGACACAAGATGTTATGAATTATAACTCAAAGTATAACGCAGAATACTATAGGGGAAAATGATTACAGAATGATACCGAATGTCGATAGAAATGAGGCCTAGGGATTATATATAGGTGTGTTGACCAGGGTTGAATGTCGAGGGTTGGACCAGTCAAGGGCTCGATAGTCCCGAGGGTGACGGGGTCAAAATGGGTTCGGGGTGTCTCGGGATCAGGTTGGGGCCGAATAGGTCGACGGGGGCTGGTTTGGCGCGTGAATTGAGGACCGAGCCTGCGGAACGCGAACTATTCACGTGTAATCGCTGTGGTGAGCCCTAGTAAGGAATCGTAATTCCTTACACTCTCCCACCTTCTAAAGGAAGGCCCTCCCTTTATCGAGGCCAAACAGTCATCACAAGTAATCCCCGAAGTGACTGTAGGTCTTCAGCCCTGTGACGAACGTAATGATTACGCCGGCTTGACGAGGTCTTGAGGTCGAACTGCAATCGATGATCAGAAAGCATCGAAACGATCGTGTTCAATCTCGACCGTCAAAGATGGTCGAATTCTTCTTCTGTCCAAACGGGCAAGGGTAAATACTCTAGCGGAAGACAATGAACAGTGAAACCGTCGAGTGATCGATTGATGATGGCGCGTGGCAGATGAATATTTTGAAATGATGAGTGGCGAATACCGTGATGGTTGATGAAATGAAGAACCCGTTCATCAAACGCAAGGTGGTTCGAGTCACATACGAGAGCACGCGTCTGTGTTCCACGAAAGTCAGCGAACTCCATCAATGAAGTGACGAAATCAGGCGCGGAAGCGTAATGATGACAAATGTTGGTCGAAAGTGGATAATGGAACACGCCGAAAATGTCGTCGGAAAATTGCAGCACATTTGCACTTCTCCTCCCTCCAAGAAGAAACAGCTCCCAATTTCCCAGGTAAACTCCAGGAAAACCAATGCTCCAGGGTAGGCGAAACTATCCCACGCTGCTGCTGAAAATTCTCATACGTAGCTGCCATAATGCCGCTGCAAAACTCCAACCGCCATAATTCCCAAAGATGCTCCAAAGTTGAAATGCCGCCTCAAGGTAAACCGCTCCAATGGTCTTGAAAATCAGAAGGCACTTCTCCGGAAGACTCCTAGACGAACTGAAAAAAATTGCACGAGTAGGAACACTGCTGGCGAGCGGGTCCCAGCTCAGCTCCAACAGTACTGCTGCAAAATTGTTTTGCGTCGATACTGCGGATGTAGATTCGGATGGCAAGGCGGGGTCGTATTCACACAGTCCGGCCAATCACGCCAATTGACGATGGAGGCAGTAGCGGGTGATCGTGAGAGGAAGACGACAATGGCGATGGCCTGTAACATGTACTGAATCACACCAGTTGAAAACCTCAAACCGAACGCAGGGTCTAATGCCGCCAGCTGCATCAGCTTCTTTGTCTGTACACGCCGAGAAATTTGGGAAGAACTGAAACAGCTACTGCTCTCCTTTCGCTCCATACACCCAAAACACTATGCAAATGTCAATCAATGTCGCTCGTACTCTTGAAGATAGCGGGCACAACTCAAGCTGGGCCACTAAAAAAATGTCGGAACCACTCGGTACTTAGCAAATACCGTAACTCTGCTTTACAGCTACCCGTAAAAATGCCCAGGCGTCACGGCGTCCTTTAGCAGCACCCCCACGGTTTCTCGACCAACTGTACGCATCAACCAAACCCTTTATATTAGGGTTTACCGGAGTCCACTGCCTCGGCATGATGTTTTGGCCGTCGATCAGGGTCAATGCGCATCATACGCCGTCGATCTCCGCCCAGCTGTTACCCAAGTTTAAAATACTCTGGTACCCCTGCCAACTGGCCGTGCAGACGTTCACCCATCCCGCGGCTGCTTCAGGTTACCCAGCACCACTTCGTTGCTACTTAACTAACTAGGAGAATCCGCAGATATAGGAGTGCGCACACTTCTAGTCAGAGGAGCTTTAACGAGCTCGCCTACTGACCGCTGGACAGCTCCCTCCTCCGTCAGAAACTCGTCAAACTACACCCGCAAAAGTTGGAACCTCCTTTTGCTGCACCAAATGAAACCCTCAGCTCCGCGGCACTAGTAACTCCTAAAATTTCAGGGACACTCCATCAGCACAGTCTAGTTCGCAGGTTCACCCCCTTATTCAGCCAGAAGTCGTCGATTAATAAGTCGACACTGCTACCTGGTGGGAATGGTGGTTTCCGGGGGACGTAGCTGAGCGAGTAGCAGCCCGAACGTCGTTAACCCATCTGCTCCAGTACTCCCGTCGTTCTTCTCCCACTGCTTCAGCTCCTCACAGTTAATGCATTCGGCGACTGATGGAAAAACACTTAATACACACCCAGGGGTGGTGGCCTCTGTTTCGTGGGGGTATGAATCGCTGGTCCACGAAAAACGCCTCCCCACGCAGGAAGTCGCCCTCGCTGAGTACACTTACTCCAGCACAGCGTCATCACCTCCAGATGCTCGTCGTAGTGAATAGCGCCGAGGTCGTCAATCCCAGCTGCTCCCACACAACTGCACACCCACACGTCATCGTGCGATCGTGTCGTTCCGAAATTATCGGATCCGCCCATTGCTGAAATAGTGTTGAAGTCTCGTCCATCGCCTGCAACTAGCTAGCCGGAAACGCCGGGACCTATGACACAGCTATAGTTCACCCTGCCGCTGTATGGCGTGCTAGACGTACATCGCCATACATCCCGCCATTTTTTGCCACCCCGCCCGCTCTTGACAACCAACTCCCGGCCACCTGCACTTGTCTTCTCCTGACAAAGCCTTCGCCTTTTTTTTTCTTCTTTTTTTCCGGAAGCCAATCCGAAGACTCCGTCCGAACACCCAAAAATTACGAATACTCTAACGAACGTACTCGAAAAACACGGCAAAAACGTCGCCCACTCTTCGACAGGAAATGATTCCGTCAAGGGCTCGACAGTCCCGACGGTGACGGGGTCAAAATGGGTTCGGGGCGACTCGGGATCAGGTTGCGGCCGAAAAGGTCGACGGGGGCTGGTTTGGCGCATGAACCAAGGGCCGAGCCTGCGGAACCGAGAGATTCGCGTGTACTCGCTGTGGCGAGCCCCAGTAAGGAATCGTAATTCTTTACAGTTCAACTTCGGTGTTACGAAATTCCCCAGGCACAATTTCTGCACTTCGGTCTCCGGAGTTCCGTAGTTCACGTGCTGGTGCCACCTTTCCACGTCGGCTGGAGTAACATTCACGTGGATCTTGCACGCGCATCCGTTTCCCGCGGATGTTCTCGTGCACGCGAACATGCTTGTGCACGTGGACCCTGTCCACCCGAGAACGCTGATGCCACCCGTGCACGTGGATCATGCCCACACGTGCACGCGGATTCTGCCAGTGGGTCCTTTCCCGCGGATTCCGTCGGCCCGCCTATTCACGCGGATCCTGCAGGCCAGCCCGTGCACACGCGCGTGCTAGGGCAATGCCCTACTACCGTACTCTCTTTCCTGCATCACTTGTTCCCCCCCTCCTCACTCTCTCTCTCTCTCTCTCTCTCTCTCTCTCTCTCTCTCTCTCTCTCTCTCACTCTCTCTCTCACTCTATCTTTCTGTATCTCTCTCTCTCTCTCTCTCTCTCTCTCTCTCTCTCTCTCTCTCTCTCTCTCTCTCTCTCTCTCTCTCTCTCTCTCTCTCTCTCTCTCTCTCTCTCTCTCGTGTATCTCGTGCATGCATCCTAACACCCACACACGACCGCTCATCCCTTCCACCCAATCGTGCAGAGTGCCGTGTACCATTGGACGCCTTTGGCAAGGCGTGGTAGTGCCGATTCGGCAAGGTCCTTCCGGAGCAGGCTGCTGCTATGTGTACTAAGTGGCAGCAGATCTCACTTGTGTTATCAGTTCTGGCTGTCGTATTTCCTGCGGCAATCTGTTGCTCCATCTCGTTTTTAGTTCTCTTTTTTGGGCTGGGTTTTTGTTTGTGGGCTCAGGCTTGCTCTTCTATGTACACATGCACACAATGCAGTATCTGGTGTCGATTGCATGGCTGTATCAAAGTGAGAACTGAATGATGAGTAGAGAGAGAGAACAGGTGAATATACCTAAGTGTTGTACCCTCTAAGAGGTGGCCCTATACAGTCTATGCAAACATAGGAGATACACATGTTTGACACACCCCCTAGACTGCATAGGGGCAGGTCCTGAACAAGCAGCTCAAGGCGGCACTACTAGTCCAGCCTCTGAGACAAGGGTCTAAAAGACTAGTCAGAAGGAGTACATACAAGGCAAGAACAAGACCAGGGCAGCACTACTAGTCCAGCCACTGGGAGAGGACACCAGTCCAGTCTGAGTACACATATAAAGGACAGTACAAAGTCAAGGCCCTAGCAAGTGAGAGGCAACAGGAACTAGACCAAGCTGTACACAGTGCCGCTGATGATCTTTAGGCGCAAGCGCCTTCGTAAAGATATCAGCTGTGTTGGCACCTGAGGCCAAGTGTACTACGCGAGCCTGGCGTCGCTGCTGTAGCTCGTGCAGGAGGAAGTACCGCAGCTGAATATGCTTCGCTCTGCCCTCGAGTCGAGGCTCCTAACACAGGAGGATCATGGCCCTGTTGTCAGCGAACAGGACCGGGGCAGAGCTAGGCCCCTCACCTAAGTCAGTGAGCAAGAAGGTCAGCCAGCGGAGCTCCTGTGCCGCCATGGCACCAGCGTAGATCTCGGCCTCACAGCTGGACTGGGCAACAAATGAGGAGCGGGTAGCTTTCCACGAGACGGCACCTAAACCAAGGCTGAAGCAGTAGCCCTGGGTGGACCTGAGTGTCTCGGCGTCGTCTGCCCAAGAAGCGTCTGTGTGTCCAGTAAGGACCACTGGCCCACGTCCTCCTAGCACTAACCCCATGCCTGATGTACTAGCAAGATAACGCAAAACCCTCTTAGCGGCAGATCAGTGCTGTGGTCGGTGTCTGCCAGTGGCCACAAAGCGAGCCAGGATGCTGAGAGGGTATGCGAGATCTGGGCGAGTGCAAGTCATCAGGTATATGAGGCAACCCACCAGCTCTGCGTAGGGGCCACTAGGCTCTACCAACTTCTCAGAAACTGGAGCAGAGAGTCTGTGGTCTACAAGCAGAGGGGTGGGCTGTGCAGAGGAGAACTGAAGGCCGAACCTCTGAAGGACCTGGCGCACCAAGTGTGACTGAGTCAGGGTGATGGTGCGTGCTGCTCTGTCCCTGGAGATCTGCAAGCCAAGGTAACGGCGCAGTTCTCCAAGGTCTGTGCACGTGTGTCTCTTCAGCAGCTCTGCCTTCACTGAGGCCAGTGCGTCCCTGTCTGCTGTGGCAAAGACCAGGTCGTCGACGTAAACAAGGATGTAGAACGGAGTCTGGCCAGAACGAACGAAGGGTGAGGGGTCTGCGGAAGACGGAAAGAACTGCAGGTCAGCAAGGGTAGCACGCAGCGTGTCGTGCCACTCACGGGGAGCCTGGCGAAGGCCGTAGACGGGGCGCCGCAGCAGCCACTGGGTCCCTGGAAGGAAGGTGCCAGTAAAGCCCTGAGGGCGACGCAAGTAGACCTGCTCGTGTAGGCTGCCCTGAAGGAAGGCAATGGAGAAGTCGAGGGAGTGAAGCTCGTAGTCACGCTGAACAGCTAGGTGTAACAGAACCCGAAGAGTAGTCATCTTCGGGGTCGGAGCGAAGGTCTGGAAGAAATTCACCCCCTCACGCTGACTAAAGCCTCTAGGCACGTAGCGCGCCTTGAAAACGGACGGCTCTCCAGGAGGGCGCTTCACCTTGAAGAGCCAGCGGTCATCGACTACGTTCACCCCAGGCGGGGGAACTGCGTCGCCGAAGGTGCCGGTGGATCTCCAAGATGCCATCTCCTGCTCCATGGCAGCTATCCACTACGAGGCCCAAGGTCCCGAGGTCGCCTCAGCGTAAGTGCGAGGGGTCGGGATGTCGAAAGCGTCTGAGTCACCCTCAGGGACTAGCAGCATGGAACAGAGATGGGGAGCAGCCTCGGACAGGAAAGCAAGCTCGAACTGGCGGTCCTCCATGACGTCACTGCCGAGGGCAGGAGCACCCCCGACAGACGGAGAACAGGCAGGGTCAGAGACCAGAGCAGTGGCGTAGTCAAGGCAGCGGGTAGAGGCGAAGTCAGCGACCGCAGCTACCAGAGCGTCAAGGCACGAGACCGGAACAGACGGGTTGGTAACGAGAGAGGCAAGGACCCGAGGAACAAGAGGACGAGCGGCACGAAGGTAGTCAGACAGAGGGGGGGGTGCAACAACAAGGGAGGACGGAGGAGGCGACGGGAGAATGGGAGGACGAGATGCGTGGGAACGAAGCAACATAGGGTGGGAGCGCAAGACAGGGGAGGCAGGACGAGCACGGGAGGGACGGTGAGACCAGACGTGAGACGGAGGAGTCGGGTCAGGAGACAGGGGAGGGGACACAGGGGGGGAACGAGGGGGAAGATGAGCCGGGGACGAGTCCGGCGGAGGGAACACAGGGCCGTACACGGGAAGAGGAGGAGACGGCCGGAGAGGAACAGACGCAGGGTCAGGGGACGGAAGGCCGAGCAGGCGAAGGGCTGATACCGGCGGGGACTGCTGCTGCGGCGGCACACCGCCGACACCGGGACCGCAAGCTGCTCCTCGGCTACCACCGGCACACTCCACGCCAGCACCCCCAGAGGAAACACCTCCAGGACCCGAAACCCCTCGAGGACCGGTACCACCCCCAGGGGTACCGGGACTAGCACGCACTCCAACGCCAGCAGCAGTCCCCACCACGCACGTAACCGGGGGACCGCGATGGGGGAAGCGACGGTAGTAGGAGACGGACTCGTCAAAGGTGACGTCGCAAGAGTGAAAGAAGCGGTGAGACGGCGGGTGGTAGAAGTGCCAGTCGGACGCGACTAGGGGAAAACCGAGGAAGACGCAGGGAAGGGTGCCGGCAGTGAGCTTGTCCGTACCGGAGGCACGGACGTGAGCAAGGCAGCCCCAGCCGTGGAACGCAGACGCGTCACCAGGAGACCCAGCCCAAAGACGGGTCGGTGAAACCTGCGGCCGCTGGGGGTGCGGCCACAGGTTAAGCTGGTGAGAAGCGTAGCGCACAGTGAACGGCCACAAAAAATGGGGTGCACCGGCATGGATCATGGAGGTGCGAGCCACCTCCATGACCAAACCGATGCGTCGCTCAGCGACCCCATTCTGCTGTGGGGAGTCTGGTAGGGTGAACGTCTGGGTGATGCCCTCCGCACGACAAAAGCGACCAAGGACACCTGAGGCAAACTCGCCACCACGGTCGGAGTGAAGGCGCAAGACAGGGAGACCTCGGTGGACACGGACAGAGACAAGCCAGGGGATGAGAGCGGCAGGCACGTCGGCCTTCCGCTCCAGGGGAAAGACCGAGGTGTAGCAAGTGAAGTCGTCGACAAGCACAAGGAAGTAGCGCTCTCGACACGGCCCATGGACGGGGGCGGGGCCCCAGACGTCCATGTGCAGGGTCTGCAGCGGCGCGGTGGTAGGGGGAAACAAGGAGGAGTGAGGGGCACGGCGAAGCCGACCCTCGATGCAAGGCGTGCAAGGCGGGGCTGGGGAGGAGGGAAAAGCGGGGAGAGAACCAGGGAGACCAAGGATGAGACCGTGCTGGGACATGTGATGCAGACGCGGGAGCGCAGGGTGACCTAGGCAGTGGTGCCAAAGGAGAGTCGGGTGAGAGAGGGACCGAGAGGAGCAAGCAGCAGCAACCTGGGTAGACGCAGCCACCTGAGGGGGCGCCCCAGCCGGGGGGGTCACGGTGTCCAGAGTGAACAGGCCGGACACCGGGTCCCGGGGGAACGTGGACAGGGGGGCACCAGTGGCGGCCTCGGTACAGACAGCATACCGCTCGTGACCAGGGAACGTAGTGGTGACGCCAAGGTCCTGGAGGCAGCCGACACCAACTAGGTTCCTGGAGAACGAGGGGATATGCAGACCTGTAAGAGAGCCCGAAGGAACCGCCGGACAGGGAAGGGTGGTGGAACTGCGGGCGACTACCAGATCGCTGGAGGGGTCACCAAGAGAAACGGCAGGAGGAACAGGAAGCGGCGTCAGTGTAGTAGAGTTGCGGAAGAAGCACCGAGAAGTGCCAGAGTCCAAGGTGAAGGAAAGCGAAGCAGTGGCGTCCGGCGACGGGGCGACGGCGGAAGCACCAAGGCTAAACAAAGCAGGGGATCCTACGCCTGACGCAGCAGGGGAGGCTAAGCTAGGCACACCTACACTAGACGACAGTGAGTAATAGGCGGGAAGCGCGCTAGAGTCATCAGCATACATCACATGCAGAGCAGAAACAATGGCATCCATGTCCATGTCAAAAATCTGAATCCTACGCTTGAGCAAACTGTGCCAATCCGGAAGGTCTGGCGACGGGCCGAAGCGCTGACGAAACAGGTTGTCCAGGCGACGAAAACAGCGGGGAGTGGTATGACCGAGCTTACCGCAAACGAAGCCGCGGCGAGGACCGGTGTGGATCTGGTACTGACAACGCACGCCTCCCGAACCACCACTCGGCACACCACCACGCGCCCGACCACCTCCAGCGCCAGGCCACCCGGGCGGGAGGACACTCGCCTGCCTCGTCTGCGGCGGCTGCTGCGGAGGCTGCGGCTGCAGCGACTGCTGCGACTGCTGCGGCTGTTGTTGCTATTGCTGCGACTGCGGAGGCGGCGGCTCAGCTGGACTGGGCAGGGTCCCCTCATCCGCTCCAGCACCAGACGACCCGACTCCACCACCACCCCCTCCTGCACCCCCGCCTCCTTCGCCGCGCC